GACAAAGAGCATGATGGGTTGAGTTGTTGGCCTGGCACTTGAGGCTTGTTTGAGAAATCAGCTCACAGCCTGCAACCCTAACCTCTTAGTTACCCCAGAGCACGTTTTTTCATCTTCCCCACAGCGATGCTCCTCAGATTTTCATTACGGAGTTTCCAAACAAGGAGTTAGATCAGAAAAGCCAGGGATCCTCCCGCCTATTTATTCTGCTTCAAGACTCATGAAGGAGGAGGTGGGTCTGGGGAGATCCCAGGGTTACGGAGAGAGAGAGTAGAGACACTGCCCTGTTCTAGCTGCACCAGCCCTTTCCATCTCTTCCCATCTTCCCGCACCATTAACAAAACTGAAACAAAAACCTCCATAATACATTTTAGGTGTTACTCAAGAAGTTTAATCCGGGTACATGGGCATGGCATTATATAACATTATATGACATGATTCCCTTTTAAAATTCTTCCTGTCATTAAAAAGGTGTTTACCTTCAGCAGTCATTAGGGAAATACAAAATGAAAACACCATAAGATACAACTACATATCCATCAGAATGGGTATATTGAAAAAGAATGGAAAATCCCAAGTGTTGACTAGAATGGGGAGCAAGCGAAACCCTCTGTAGGGATTCAGAACTGGTCCCCCCAAGGTGCGCCTCTGTGGTATACAAATTATTTTGAGCTAAACCTTCAGGCTCAAGAGAAACTCCACCCCTCCCCCATCCTTAACTATTTAGAAGAATTTAAATTAGGGGCCTTGTCCATAATAAGAGTTATTACCAGAAATAACTTTCTATGAACTATTTATAGGGTAGGGCAGACATGTAATTACTGAGCACCTGCTTTTCTTATCGTTCTGCAAGTTACCTCATTTTAATTATTCAACCAGTCAACAGAACCAGAGGAGGGAAGGGGGGGGCATTTTCCCCTCCCCAACACCTCATATATTGTGATAACAGTACAGATTTATACATCTACTTGGCAAAACTTTCTGACCGCACCTCCTAAAGCTGAACACATGTATGCCCCATGGCCCAGAAATTCTTTGTCTAGGTATAGACCCAACAGAAATGTGTGCACATGCTCTACAAAGGACCGCTTCTGGGAAGTTCATGGCAGCTGTGTTCATAAGAGTCAAAAATAGGAAACTATCCAAATTCCCACCAACAGTAGAATGTATGAATAGATTGCGGTGGAGCCCTACCATGGAACACTACCCAACGATGAGAAGGAACCCATAACTATATGCAAGAATATGGATGAATTTCACAAGCATAATGTTGCGCAAAAAAAGCCAGAGAGAAAAAGATTGCATGTTGTACGCTTTCATTTATATGAAATGCAACAGGCAAAACTTACCTATGCTGTAGAAGTCAGGATCATGGTTGTCCGTGTAGGGGGCAGAGGGCAACTGGGAGCGGGCATAAAGGGGGATTTTGAGTGCTGTTTCTGTTCTCTTTTTCATCTGGGTTCTGGTTGTGTGGGACGGCCAGCTTGGAACATTTATCAAGTTTATGGCCTGAGTACTTTTTTGCATGTATGTCATATTTCACTAAGATGTTTTGAAAAATTATGCCTCTCCTTCTGATGGCTTAATGGAGAAAATCTCAGCTGGGGTCTGGCTTGCCTTAATGCTTCCCTTAGACTGGCTCATCTGCTGTTAACCAGAGAGAGCGTGCCAGGCTCAGAGGCTTCCGTAAGCCTCACACTGAATAACTTTTGTTTCCTTGTGTTTATTTTTATGGTTGCCATCTATATATGGCCATCAGTACAGGTTTTCCGTTTATGGTAGTGATGTAAAGTTTCTTTGAAAAAGAGCTTTAAGTAAAAAAAAAAAAAAGTGAATTGACTTACATTAAAAATATTGTGTAAATAATAGTACAGGTGGTACTTAGTTACAGTAACCCTTGAGAGGGTGGAGTTGATGAAACACTTTTCAAACGGAACAGGCAGAGGTTAGGGGGAGGGGAGAAAACCAGTTTCAGCCTGTCCCCATCTCTCAACGAGTCCTGGCTGCACAGCACAGACAGATTTTCAGGCCTAAGGACATACGTATCCTTCACAGAGGACTCACGAAGAACATAAAGCAAGGGCGCTCCAGGAACAGTGGGCAAAGCAGGGACTAGGGGCAGAGAAACTCAGTTCACTCAACAAATATTGACTGAGGCTCTGTGTTTCAGGCACTGTTCTAGGTCACCCTAAGTGACCTGGCTGGGGGCTTTGGTTCAGCTCTACCACCTCTGTAAGCTTCAACTGATAGAGGATGTGCTGGATTGGTGCCTTTCTGAAGCAGAACTCTGAACCGCATGGCACTTAAAAAAGGACTTAGCAGCGGTGATGGTGGTGGTGTATGTGTGAGACTTAACCTGGGAACTAGGAGAAAACAACTGGGGAGTGGTCTTCAGACTCACTGGCAAGAGAACATTCATTGAAACTTTGCATTGGTCAAGTTAGCCTCACTTTGCCTGCTCACCTCCAGGGTTCTTGGCTAAGAGATCAAGAACTTTATACGGAGGCAGAGGGAGAATCTCAAAAGGTAAGCGAGTAGCTGAATGAATAAATAAGTGCCTCTCCTGTCCTCGCAAGGCATTCATCCCAACCTTTCACCCATAGCTGCTGGGCATTGCTATGGAGATTGAGAATGAACGGCCCTGCCAGGAGTATTTTTAGAGATGGCACTTTTCATTCACTCACTCACTCATTCACTCACTCACTCATTCATTTAGTGAGTGCCTACTAGGTGCCAGGCACTGCATATTAGACCCGTGCCACATCCAACATGGTAGCTACTAGCCACACGAGGCCATTGAGCATTTGAATTTTGGCTAGTTCAAATTGAAATGTGTTGTAAGTATAAAATATACATCAGAGCTTGAGGATCCACTACTATTTCACTCCTCTACTCACACGTGGACACCGTTCCCCTCTGCCCACCAAACGAAGCCAAACCTTCACACAAGTTAACTGGATTCTGCTTCCAAGCATTCTGCTTCCTTTTCCAACCTTACTTTATTTTCATGTCCTGGCTTTGGCTGGTCTCTCAGCTTGGGGTGCCCCTGCTATCCCTACATTTCTCCTGGTAGAATTCCAAGCTTTAATTTCAAGTCTGATTTACCCATGAAACCCCCATCACATCTCCACCTAAATATTTCTCCTCTTCAAAGCCTCTGGCGACCAGTTATTTGTCCATCTTATCAAACTCTCACCCACAACATTGTTAGTTTCTTAAGATCAGGAAGGAACTTGCCTTCCTGGGCCTCTAGCTCATCTTCAGGGCCAGGTGGCCACTTGGTAAGTAGCTGTTGAGTTGACTCAAATGGCTCTGATCTGGAAAAAGTTAGAAAGAGCTGGAGTGGAGGGCTCTGGCGGGAGGTAGTGTGGCACAGAGGTGGTTCACTGCCTAACGACAGGGGCACGTTCTGAGAGATGTGTCATTAGGTGACTTCTTCATTGTGGGAACATCAGAGTGCACTTAACCTATTGCTCCTAGTCTACTAGCCTGTACAGCACGTTGCTGTACAAAACAACACGAGATACAATGAAGCACAAGAGAAAATGAGGCAATCAAGATGCTTGGGAAGCAGGAGATGGATGAGGCTGCTGTCAGTGGAACACCACGTATTGTTTCACAGAACACTCTAAAATGACGATAAAAAGCATAGCATAATGAATACATAAGTGAGTAACAGTTGTTTACCATCATTCTCCAGTATTATGAATGATACTTTTGTACAACTGCCAGCCTAGGTTTGTTTATACCAGAATCCCCACAAACACATGAGTAACATGTTGGGCAATGACATTATAATGGTTATGACGTCACTAAGTGATAGAATTGTTTCAGCTCCATTATAATCTTACAGAACTACCTTCGTACATGCAGTCCCCTGTTGACAGAAACGTCCTTATGTGGTGCATAACTGTGTTGAGAAATTACACCTGTGCCAGAGGCAGCTTAATGGTCGGTCCCTCACCAACAGAATCTCTCTGACAAGGGTCTCTGTTAGCATCACAACCTCGGGAGATGGAGATCCAGCCTGGAATGCTGGGGCACTGGAGACAATTTGGTCAGATGACTCAGTAAATCAAACAGAACAATGAAGGGAAGCCACCCTTCTCCATCCACCTGCATTATTGGAGAGGACTCTAGCTGACCTCACTCTAGGGTGTTCCGTCACACCTGGAAGGCTGATCTGACCTTCCCAAGACCCCTGAAGGATGTTCTGGGATCAGTCCTGCAGCAAATGCCTCCAGATTTGTGGATGGGGCCCCAGGTGGCTAAGGGATTACTTTTTGGAGACGGGAGGGCAGAGCAGGTGGAGAGGAAGGGAGCAGGTTTCTCAGTGTCCAGAAATTGCGTTTCTTGTACTTACATGTTACAATATGCTCTGCAGGGTGGGGAAACTGACATGGTCTCTAAGGGGGGCGGTTAGGGGCTAGGCTGGTCTAGAGGATGAGAACCTCGTCCCAAATCACTCGACGCCAAAATTACTGTCCCAAGCAACGCATCAGTGGGTCAGTGAAAACCGGGGATGAAGGGAGTCCTTGTGGTTGGGAGTGAAATCTACTTGGAAGGTCAAGACCATGCCTTTTGTTCTTTGCATTCCCCCAGCAGTTAGCCCAGCGCCAGCCACACGGGAAGAGCGCAAACGAACTCATTGTGAATCGAACCGAAAACAGAAGAGAGAAAGGACCCACTCTTCAGTCCCACTCAGATCCTACTCAAGCCCCCAAGTGATTCTTACTCTCCATGAGTCAGGGACCCCGGGGTCGAAGGGTGTGGTGGGACAGAGGCGGGGTAGGCGGGGGGTAGGGGACTTACAGAACTGGGAACAAAGTGAGGGTGGACAAGAGGGCGTGCGCGCACGCACAGGCCCGCGCGCGGGAGTGTTGGGGAAAGGGGGTGGTCTCCAAAAGGGGGAGGGGAGAAGCCAGGGGGCGGGGAGAAGCAGGGCCCTTTAGGATCCGGCTGCCGCGGCCGGGGAGGAGAAAGAAGCCCAGGAGGCGGCTCCTGAGCTCTCAAGGCAGTGCCACCTGCCCGCTCTCTCGCCTCGGTCGCGCTCACCATCACCAACATGCTGCGGAGACTGAGCGGCCCCGCGCTGCCGCTGCTCCTGCCGCCGCTGCTGCTGCTGCTGGGCGCCGGCGTACGCGCCGAGGTGCTGTTCCGCTGCCCGCCCTGCACGCCCGAGCGCCTGGCCTCCTGCAGGACCCCGTCGGCCGGGGCCGGGCGGCCCTGCGCCGAGCTGGTCCGGGAGCCCGGCTGCGGCTGCTGCTCCGTGTGCGCCCGTCTGGAGGGCGAGACGTGCGGCGTTTACACCCCACGCTGCGCCCAGGGGCTGCGCTGCTATCCCAACCCGGGCTCCGAGCTGCCCCTACAGGCGCTGGTCCAGGGCGCCGGCACTTGCGAGAAGCGCCGCGACTCCGACAGTCCCGAACAGGCTGCAGGTAAGGCAGGCTGGGACAACTAGTTGGGAGAGACTTGGAGGGCAGCGTGAGGCCTGGCTGGAGGCTGTTTTGCAGGGAAAGTGTGCGCGGCAGGACCTCAGAGACCGTGTTAGCGGAATCTTGAACAGCTTTGGGGGACTATTGGGAGGGGGGCCCGAAAGTCAAGCCCGCGAGGGGACTGGAGTTAGAGCGCGCGGAGGAGCCTGACTACTGATCTGTGGGGATACGTAGGGAGAGGAAAGGCACCTCTGTTACCACGGTTTCCCCGGGTGGAACGTACCCTGGCTTATATTTTGGAGGGGATGTTACTGGGGTGTAAGGGGTGATCAGATCTGCGGAAGTAGGCACCGAAAAGTCCTGGAAAGGGTCTGGTGGAGGGCGCTACTGTAGGGTGGAGGTGGCGGATGCTCGTGACACTGAGGACCTCTGCTGAAAAGGGGCGCAAGGAAAAGGCAGCGGCGCGTTGAAGAACTCTTCTGCCCCTGGGATTGTGAGGTGAGAAGAAAGGACTTGTTGGTACCGGCAGGGTGGGTTGATTAGGGGAAAAATGAAAACGGACGCCGCTGCTTTTTTTTTTTTTTTTTTAAACACAGAGGACGGAAAAAGATCTTGCTATTTTGTTGGACGGAAAAATAAAAGAGGGGCATTTGGGAGGCAAGGAAGAGACCCCAGCAGTTGAGTCAATGGCACTTAAGCTGGGTCCCCGGGTGCAGTCCCGGGGCAGCATCTGGGCCCCAGGAGACGCCTGGGCGTTGGACGCAGCTCCTCTTATCGGAGCGAGGTGGTACCCTCATCCCCCTTTCTTAATTTGAGGGAATTCTTCCTCTCCCAGAGAATGGAGACCCTGAGATCCTTTGTAAGGGCCTCTTCCCCGCCCCCAAAGTTTCTGGAGGGACACAGCCAAACTATAAGGACCTCGCTTGTTTTTTGTATGTTTTTAAGATTACAAAAGCCTTCTGCCTCAGTGGTCTGGAGGAGGCTGTAATTATTTTCTTTCCTCTTGGAGACAGTGGTGAAGTGTGTCCACTGACCACTGCTGTTTAAAAAGCAAGTGAGTCTGACCAAGTTTCTCAAACTTGGAAAAAAAAAAAAGAAGAAGAAGAAGAAGAAGAAGGAAGAAAGAAAAGAATAAGTGAAAACATTCTTGATTCTCAGCTTTTGTGGTCATTGTACAACCAACCGCCAGACTCCTTCCCCTCACCCCCTTTCTCTGGCCTGCTATTGTTTTTTTTCCCTGTTCTCCTTGAGAACAGAATTAGGGGCCAGAGTTGAAATCTTTTTCTATTTTTCTCCAGCGTATTTTGACCTTGAGTGCAGAGCGAGTTAGGGCTTCCTCTGAGCAGACTCCAAACGGGAACACCTCAGTCCAGTATTCTGCCTCTGGCTTACTTCACCAACCTCCGTACCCCACCCCACCCCCAGCCCCAAGCCTGCCTCAGAGTTAACCCTTCCATCCTGCTTCTCTTAGAAAGTAATGCTCAAAGGAAAAGGACTTGGCAAAGGCCCTTCACGGTGGGCTGCCAGTCCCTTAGTCCTGTGTTCCTCCCCCGTCGCCCCCTGGTACCCTGTGGTCCACCAGGGAGATTCTGCAGCTTCTGAGCTGAACTCTGTCAAATTAAACAACTTCCTCAGCAGGGTGAACTTTTCAAAAGGCCTCCAAGTTCATAGAATCATTTGGATTTTGACTGTTTTTAATAAAGTGTGTGTTACATGGCCTTCCTAAATGTTTTACTTTTTTTTTTTTTTTTTAAATTTTCATCTCTCTCAGTCTTGGCCTGAAAACTAGCTGTCCTGCTTCCCGAACCCCGGCAGCAGGTTAGGGTCTTCAGAAGGGAACAGATGCAGAGGTTCCCCATTCACGCCTTCCTGGAGCCAGGAGGAGGCAGTTGTCAGGGGAGCCAGGGGACAATGGGGTCAGTTCAAGGGAAGAATGCCACTCTGGATTTTCTTCCTGGTTATGGGACTCCTTCCTACCCGCTAACCCCAGTTGCCTCCTGAGCTTTTGGCATTTTTCTCTTGTGCTCCAGACTGGTAAGAGGGGACACCAAAGTTGGGGATGGGGAGGGAGGGTGGGGGTGGGGGTTAAATGTGGAAGCCTAGTGAGCACATTGGGAAGGAGTGACCAAGAGCAGGGTGCCTGAGGCACGAGCAGGGCCGGGGCTGCGGGGCACTGCCAGGGGAAGCCGAGGCTTGCAGGGATGTCAGGAGGAGAGAGGAGCAAGTGTGAGGCTTCTGTGCAAAGAGGTACTTGGGCTGGGGCAGGGAGGGGGCGCTGCCTGGAGATTGCTGGGGTCTGAATCGGGTGGGGGCAGGGACTGAGCCAGGCCCAGAAGAGACCTCTGCACTGAATGGTGCTGCCTCCTACTCTTCTCCCATCCCTTTCCTCCCCCTCTGAAGAGTGAGCCTACACCCCCCCCCACCCCCCATCCCAGCCTGCATTCCTCTTTGAGCAGGTTGCTTTTGAGAATTTTAAACATACCCTCTCATTTCGAGGCAGCAAACCCCAGCAGTTCCGGCTTCGCTGTTAGCTCTTTTGTCTTTGTTCCCAGGGCTCAGGGGCTGTGTCGCTGGCTTCCTGGGGATGGCTGGGATGCAGGGGGGTGGGGGTGGGCACTTCAGCCGGTTCTGAGCCTGCATCCCCTGGGGGTGATGGGCTGGGACTTGTCAGTTCAAAGAAACCCAGAAGTCAGGACTGGAGGTTGGAGTGGGTGGGTCTGGAAGAAAGATGAGAGAGAGATTCTGAGATCTGTGCGAAGTCCGAACCTCAAAAGTGTGTGGCTGTGTTGGGTGGTGGAGTGGGCAGACGTGCCTAGAAATGCTGGGTAAGAGGGTTTGGGCCCTTTCAGAATTCAGGGTCTTCCTGAGCAGCTCTCTGCCTCCTTCTCTGCCAGGTACAATGCTGGGGATTACGAGGGGGGAGGGGGTGCAGGCGGAGCTGCCCAAGTGGCCGTCTGGCCCACATGAAGGTACGGTAGGACTGTGCCGTCATTCAAAGTCCCAGGGCAGGCAAGCAGGCAGGCCGGCAGGCCGGCAGGCCGGCAGGCGGGTGGGGTGGTGGGCCACATGGGCTTTGCTTCTGCAGTTGCTGGGGGAGGAGAAAGAGGGCAGAGGCAAGCACTGATTTACAGTGGTTCAGTGCAGTTTGAAAAAAAGGGGAGAAAAGCAATGGGACTTCTGGCTCAAAGTGCTGCTTTGCATCTTGTCTTGCATAAATTTGCATACTGAGTTCAAAGTCATAAAATAGACTTGGGGAATGAGTGGGACCCACTCTCAGGGATTGCTAACACCGCTATCTTCCGCTCCCTCCCCCTTTCTGGACAGAACATGCAGAACTCACTCTGCTAAGCTGCTCCCCCTGAGTCACCGCCCCACTGGAAAGAAATGGGGGAGCTGAGGGCTGCTGTTCCTGGATCCCCTTTCTTGGGCACTCGGCGTTCCTTGGCTATGGGGACCTAGCAGGGGTGGCACTGTGCGGTCTGGCGTTGGAGGCAGGACTGGTCTGGCAGATGTGGCTCCATAGGTCCTGAACCTGCTAGGCAGGCAGTGTCCTGGGGCTGCCATGATGCTGGAGGCCTGAGATTTGAGGAAGTCACAGAATCCGAGTCTTTGCCTCCAGTCTCCCTACCCATCTTCCAACCTGTGTCCAAAAGTGTTCAAGGAAGACGGTTCCCTTTGTGTGGTAACAATGATCCCGTCCATTCCCTTGGCTGGGTATTTCAGGAAGCTTTGAGAAAAAGCAGCTCCTGTATAACAGCATTAAGAGCTTTTGCAAAAACAAACACAGGGCTAAGGACTCTGAGTTAGAATAGGTGGTAGAGCCTTAGGGGAAAGAAGAGCTCAGCTGGTGTGGTCATGAAAATCTATCTATGCAGTGGTTCTTGGCCAAATTGGACTACTGAGTTTCCTAGCAGGCAAAGGGAAAAGTAAGTTTTATATGGTTCTTACTGTTAGTTTACCTTAGCATTGAGTTTTAAAATAAATTTTTCAGGCAAATCAGTCCTTCGGGTGGGGGGCGGGCAACATGGAAATGTGTCCTATAAACATGCCCTTGGGTTGCCTGCAAGTGGGAGCATTTTCAGTCACCCGTTGTCAAATGTTCGAGGGATTACTTTGAGAGAGTCATTGCTCTCTAGCCCAGTGCAGGTTCGATTCTAGCTGGCTCTCATATTAGGTGTTCTCTGCCGTTGAAAACGGGACACTCAACTGTTAAGTTTTGATATGAGGAAGTTCCGAAAATTCCTGACTGTAATGAAATGCAGAATAGGAGCTTTATTTTCAACGGGGAGAGGAGGGCAGAGGGTGGTGGCAGGACAGGCCAGGGGCTGCTAAAGGGAAGGAGCAGAAAATAAACAGATTGTGCCCACATTTGGTTTTGTCGTTGGCTCTCTCCACGTTCTACAACACTGTACAAGAAAGTTATTGTTATTATTATTTTAAAAGAGACTCCACGTCCAGGGACTACGTTTAGTTCCAATCTGCCCTCTCTGTGTTGCCTGCTGCCCTTTTCCTCCCCTGCTTTCTCCATCCTGTCTTCTCAACACCTTCTGGACCCTTCTCTCTTCCTGGGACCTGACCTCGGACACCTGGCTGGATGCAAGAAAATGGCATGGAAAAAATATTTGCCCCAGCCTTCCTCAGGGATCCAGTTAGAGGGAAACCACATAGGTGATTGGAGGCTGGAATGTTTGAAACAAATCTACTCCTTAAACGAGGCGGGTGGTTGGCAGGCAGTGCAGGGGCCATGCTTTGTGGGTGGGGGGAGTGGCCATTTTCCCCTAAAAGAGTGTTTGTACTAGGGCTGCTTCTGCTGAAACTAGAGCTCAGAGGAGTGAGGTTACCCTTTCAGTCCACCAGGGGAGCTGGTGATCTGGTTGGCAGGTGCTCTGGGCCCCTCTGCGTCTCCTGTCTCCTTGCTGTCTCTGGCCAGCATTTTGCTGAGGTGGCAGTCATCTTCCAGGAGATGGATCGTCTTCCCCTCTGTTCTTATCCTGTTATGAAGC